CAATTTCTATAAAACCGGCTTCTATAAATTCGACCTAATTTCGTAGTGTAGACATACCCTCAGAGGAACTCAAGTACTTGCCAAGACAACATTCTTATAGTGTTACTGGGTGATTCATCCCAGCTGGCCCATCTCTGCTACTCTGACAACCCCAGCATTTAGCAGCTGTGATCATTCCTTTACTTAAAAAATAAAAAAGAAGAAAAAATAGTCTGTTAACCTCTGCCAATCCCAATAAGGAGTCTATGCACTCCAACACCTTAGGGAAAGAGATACAATCTAGTTACATGTTGCAACCTAACTTTTAAGTGCCCTGAAAATCACAGAAACAACACTGTGATCAACAAAGCCAAGTTAGACTATACAATGCACAGGGAGAGGCCGCCTAGGAATGCAATCCACAAAAGCCAGAAGGCTAAGTGGGGAGCTACCTAAGTTATGCCAACAACAGGGGTGTGTGCTAAGCCTCACCCTTCTCTCACAGACAGGGACCTATCTCTGTTTAGCAATCCAGGAACAGTCAGATGGCTTAGGTGCCTAAGCCATTTCTTGCAGGAACAAGTTATGTGCCTGCCTCACTCCATACAAAATGGGGTGGTTGGGGTACCCACTTTATAACTTTTAGCTCAGTGGTTAGAGCACTCACTTGGGAAGTGTAAGTGCAACTTCTCCCTCTGCCAGAGGAGGAGAAAGTATTTGTACAGGGGTCACCTTCCTCTCAGGAGAGTGCTCTAATCACTAAACTCTGGGACAGTCTGATGTGGGGGCCTCCTCAGTGTCTCCTGTTGAAGTTCCATTGTGGATAAATAATGAAGGAGTGATTGGAGCAAGAATACTGGACCCAGGTCTTCCACGTGGGTACCCTAATCACTGGACTACAGAGTCATTCTCACTCTCTCTTTCTCTGGCCCAATGACTATTAAGTGAAACAGTCATTGGGTCACAAAGCAAAAAAATGACTCTACAGTCCAGAGCACCCACATGCTCCCACAAAACAGAAATTCCATGATTCGATCAGCTCTAGTATAACATTCTTGATTTTTCTTGCTATTCCCTATGGACTGTGCTCCCAACATTCTCACTAAAGCTCCACTAAACACACATCTGTATCCTTCCTAACTTAAACCTTTCCTTTGACTTAAATCAGAGGAGGGCCAGGCCCAGAGCATGTGGTGCCTTTTGTTGGTAACAAATCTCTGCGAGTTCACACTTTTCAGCATGGAGTTCTTAAAGTGTTGCTCTCACCACTCCCACAACTTTGCAAAAATGTAAAGCCCTACAATAAAGAACCCCAGATATCTATTTTTTTATTATTTATAAAAAGTCCAACTTGTCACTTGATTTTGAAATCAAATTTCAGACTTTTTAGGTCTACCCTGGATTCTTGTTAGAGTGCAGAGTCTCCAGGGGTTCCTAGCGATGACATCTGGGACAAGAAGAAGGAACCAGTGCAGACATCTGTTTATAGAGTATAATGGAATAAAATTCCCCTGAGCAATTATCCTTTCTACCTCCATTGGATCTGTGTCTTTCCCTTTCCTTAAGGCCCTATTTCTCACCCTCTCCATGCCCCACATTCTTTTTCTCATCTCAAGGTGCTTTTCATCTTTCACGCCCTATGAAGTTCTCCCTCACTTTTCTCTCTTCCCATAGACCCTCTCTATTTGGTCTAGACTCGACTGCTTTCTTCTTACAGTTCAGGCTGCCTATTGGCATCTCTGTAGCTGGTCCTATATCCTGCACAATGAGGGATTCACACGCATGTACAGCATAGGACAGGGGTGGGCAAACTACAGCCTGCGGGCTGGATCCGGCCCGTGAGCCATTTTAAGCTGGCCCACGACCTGCACCACGCAGCTCGGCCCCGCTCTGGCATGGGTGCTGAGTCGGGGGCTGCACCACGCAGCTCAGCTCTGCCCTGGCACTCTGACCAGGGCGCAGGGTTCGGGCTGCACCACGTGGCTCAGCCCCACTCAGGCCGGGTCGCAGGGTCGGGGCCACATCACGCAGCTCCCAGAAGCTGCGGCATAGCCCCACTCTGGCTCCAATGGGAGCTGCAGGGGTGGTGCCTGTGGATGGGGCAAGGTGCAGAGCTGCCTGGCCACGCCTCCGGATAGGAGCCAGAGAAGGGACATGCCACTGCTTCCAGGAGCTGCTTGAAGTAAGTGCCGCTTGGAGCCTGCACCCCTGAGCCTCTCTCTATGTGCCAACCCCCTGCCCCAGCCCTGATCCCCCTCCCGCCCTCTGAACCACTCGGTCCCAGCCCACAGCACCCTCCTACACCCCAAATTCCTCATCCCTAGCCCCACCCCAGAGCCCGCACCCCCT